CTACTCTATTAGAAATCTGTGGATAAGATGGATTTGAGTATTTGGAGCAGGAACCAGGATTTAATCTTACATCAGCAGTGGTATCTGTTGCAGGATATGCTCTGAAACTCATCATTTTTGTGAAATATAAACTGATATATGATATTTTCCCTAGCCTGCTAGATTATGGAGTTAAGTCTTTCCAGTGAATACTTTGATCACCATTAATACCATTTGGCAAATTAAATCCAGAATAAGTAATTGTATCTATTGTTTATAATGAGCCACTTGTGCAAGGATTTTCCCAACTTGGAGATGTAAAATCTTTAACACTAAAAAGTATCATATATGAGATACTACTCAACACATATGAATTTAAAGTGTACATTGCTGAGTTTCTTTCTTTCAGATACTATTTATAGTTTGCACTTGATGTAATTAATGTTTTTAAAAGTGATGACTTGACTGTCATTGGAGTAACAGCTATGTTTATGATAGCAATATAGGTTGATGACGTTCATCCATATTGCATTATAAGTTGTGAGGAAATTGTTGAATATTCTATTGAACAATCATATATATCATTCCCAGAATCGAATCCAAATTACAACTGAGATAAGACTAATCCTGTATCTGGATCATGCCTTGATAAATATAACTCAGAGCCAGAGGTTGTCATTCCACTAGTTTGATAAACCAAACATGAATAAAGATTGTTTTAAATTATTCTAATGCCTAATTATTAGCTGGGTACTCCACCTTATTAAAATATATATCCGCTTGTATCTCTCAGAGTTTTAGCCCAAATTACATCTCCATCCATTTAATCAACCTTTAAAATGGCAAAATAATTTTTGGCTAAAGGAGAATAATTATAGGAATGAATCATATAAATTGCAAGATTAACCTAATCTAAATTGATTTCATATCCTTCATTAGGTAAGTATTCATAAAATCTCACAAACTGAATTTCATAGAATCTGTCATATTTCATTAGGAATACATACTTAAAAGAATCAAAAGCAAAAAATGTTTTGACTTATATTCCCATCAAATAAGTATCTCCTGTTATTGGTTCAGCTATCATTTGAATTGGTCTTAAATTTAAATCTGGTGTTTTAAAAACTCTTCCATCTTAAAATTTACCTTAACTTGTATGAGTTGTAATGTATATTGCATCAGAATCACCAAGAGTTTAAGAAAATGACTTAATCATAGTGTATATATTATTTTAAAACCCAAAATTACACTACTAAGCCATGTTATTTATTGATCCTGCTTCCATAGTTAAATGAAAAGTCATTGCATATCCTTTGGTATATTAAAGAATAAATGATTAAGTATAAGTATCAGCTTTAGTTTGAAGAGTCTTGGTACCCCCACATATAATAAAATAATCAGCTTTACTATCAATATCCATGTAATTGATTACATAATCAGCTTGAATTCCAAAAGCCATTGCTAATGGTCTAGATGGGCAGTCTAAACACTTTACTTAATCTGTGTATGATTTTTCAGGGTAAATCTCAACTTAGAAATAATCTTTTGTAAATAGAAGTGTGTCCTTAGAATTTATAAAAACAACTTAAATTGAGTAAGTTCCAATATCTGAGACCGTAGGGTTCATATTCAATGTAGCCTTTTTATTTGAAGTAGTAAATGTTAAAAATGAAGGGGGTGATGCATAAAAATCAACTGCCCAAGTAAAAACCAGTTCATTGTTAAAGCAATCAACAGGATAATCAAATGTATAAGTTTTTGGAGTAGATATTGGTAATTATATAATTTGATTAATCATTGGGGAAGAGTATCGAGGTTAGTCTCCTCTACATTAAAAAACTTATGACTAATAAAAGTTAATCTTATCCGGCTATTTCAAAAATTCCCAGTAATCATCAAATCCTGGCTATAGTCTTACTTAATAATACATCTGATATTGCAATTAAAAGAATTAAATACCTGATTGTATGTGACTCTTGAAGAATAATCGTAAAATGTAAGATCTTAAATTTAATTAAGAGTCATTGTTATATAACCAAAACACGAGTCAGGGGAATCTAAATCTATTGTCAATTTTTCAATAAATGCCTCAGGATTAGAAAAAACTGGTTATTTTGACACTAAATTAATTAGTATATTGATGAAATAATTTACGAAAGTATTTTGAATTTGAAAACAAGTATAGATTTCCCCCATATTAATAGCTATAAAGATAAGTCATATCTAAGAATGTGTAGTAGAACCTAAAATTTATAAAAGAAATCAATTACCCAACAATTTTAATTAGAGCTAAGTTCGTTTTAGCATATTTAGCAATGTAGTAATAATCTGCACCATAATTAAAATACTCATAGATAAAATCTTAATCTAAACTTAACGATGTCCAAAGAACCTAGTTTAATGTTGGCATACTGAAATAAAAACCATTGACAATTTATAGATTGAGGTTGTATTGTCTTAAATATTTATAATAGGTACTAGTTCTGTATTCAGCTGAAGAGAAATAGACAAAGTTAGAGTCAACAGCTATTCTAAGATTTGATGTTGTCAAGGAGGTTGGATGATTTATTGTTGCAACAACTTTTCCCTCTTCAGCTAAATACTTCTAGATGTAGTTGTAGTAAGTATATTATGGCGTGATATACATTGTGCCAAATGAAAAAAAGTATCTTGAATCAAGAGGAAATACAATTTGTTAAACTCCGCTAAAGGTAGAAGATCCTGTAGGTAAAATATAAGTGTACCACTTCACTCTTGGAGGATCAATCGTTATATCTAGTCTATATAGTTAAAGAAATTCATGAAGTACCTCTAAATATAATGAGAATAAGTAATCAAGTCATATCTATTTCCAGTAATATATCCATAATTGCTTTCATTATCTATCCAAAATTTAGGCAGTACCATAGCTATATTATATAGCCCTATAATTTATTTGTAATATATAATTTTTCCTCTTTCATAAGTTAACTTCGAAACTGCCATTTGATTTTCTGTTTCTCTAAATATAAGGGAATAAATGTAGCCATCTGATGCAATCACACAATTCAAAAAATAAGAAACTTTGCCAGCAAGTATACGTTGAATATTGTAAGCCCAGTATACTTATCCATACAGGCTTGAGAAAACAATTATACCACCTTGCGCAGTATTAGGATATTAAATGTTTTAATATTTCGGTGCAGTAGTTCTTCCACAGACTACAAAATTTCCATTATCTTTATCCATATCTGCATGTGTAGGTGAAACTTAATAAATTCGTTAGCCCAAAATCTTTGGGAATTCTTGCATACCTAAACATTAAGTTTATCCTTCAGTTTTTGGAGCATCAGACATATCTAAAGGCCAAATTACTAAAGTAGCTTAATTAATGGAGCATTTTGTGTTAAAAGCTTGGATGCAAGATTTAATATATAATATTCTCTAGCTTGGATAAGGAGGGTTGTTTCTTGCATCAACTATCAATTATGAATTCTAGACAATTGAAATAAAGTTATTATTAATTGTTCTTGTTAACATATTAGCTTCATCATACAGTGTGTAAGTTACTTTCATTTTCTAGCATTATTTAATACCCAAATCAGATATGTCAAACGTTTTCAATTCACCCATGTTAACCTCAAAAGATGTAAGAGCTTCTTGAGAAGGCGGAGATAATCCAGTATTTTCACACTAGATATTTGTATCATAATAGGTACTTGCATGCAATTTATCAGAGTTAGGATAGAGTAATCCTGGCCCGTAGGTTTACAATTAATACGATTTTATGAAATCAGCATCTAGCAATAGGAGTTGTTGTGGGTTGACAACTATTGCTAAACTGGGTATTGCTGTATTTACTGGTGTATAATTGTTCACTATGCTAAAATAGTTTACAACAGGAAATGAATGGCAATCATAATTTAGCCTTTTGCTTAATTCGTAATGATGCTTCCAAAATACTGCTTCTGAAGTTGGAGTAGTTGTACCATAAGACCACATATTAATACCTACTATGTAATAATCACTTCCTCTCTGGTGAATATTACCTCTTGTTTATCTTGCCCCTATATGTGGTGAACTATGATAAGTATATCCTATTGGAACTAAATCCATATCTAATTACTGGTAACACAAGCTTGCAACTGATTATCCTATCAATATTACATTTCCATTTATCTCACTTGTTATCATTTCTAGATTTATCATATACCAATCTATTATTGCCATATAATATTCCTTTAATGTCTGACCATTTTTATCTAACTTTACAATTTATAGGTGAAATGGGAAAGTCATCATATATAAGAATTGAGTTTTATTACAAAAAGATATTGCAGGTTACAATTGTTCCCATTCAGGAAGTGTTCTAAATCTATTGTATGTATTTGACCAAATAATTTATTTTGTGATTGCATCAAGTTTCATCAGCATCATATCTTAGTATGATCCTGAAGTTGTATAAGAAGCATGAGCCATGTAGACAAAATTAGAGTCAGGATGAAACTCTATATAGCCTGCAGAATTTCTAGAACCAGCTAATTTTGCCAATGGTTTAATAATTATATTGTAATCAGATTTAAAGTCAACACCGTCATTTACAAACAAAATATTTCCTGAATACATTGAGTCAGCATTCCATTGGAATAGTACAGAAGACATTATTTAAGAACTATTATAAGGATTGGTCACCATATATCTCATAAATGAGACAATAAAACTATTAGTGTCAATTGGATTAGATGGGATAATTCTTTTAGTCCACTGAACCTTGCCTTCTTCGTAACTAAGTTTAATTAATGCATGAATTCTATTAGGTTCAGTACTTCCATAATTGTGGAAGAAGCAATAGATAAAACCTTTTGACATTGTTACAGATGTTATAGCATCATTAACATTTTAATTTGCTGATACTTGATTAAGCCAATAAACCCATCCAGTTGGCGAGATTCTGACAATAAATGCATCATCTAAATCTTCATTTATAAAGAATGCGTTTGTTGGTGCTGCTTATCCAACTAAAATCATATTCTCATCTTCTCTGCTTAAATAAAAGCCATTAGAGTAAAAAAAACAATTACCGCAATTTGAACCAAATGACATTGAGAATTAATTTTAAAAGCACTCATCCTAATTATGCACCTCTATTGTCAGATTTTGAGGTGCAACAATTCTTATTAATATAGAATAATCGAAATATGCTTCACTGGTTGACATTGCTTCATCAGCATATCTAACCTTGAGTGAGAATTATAATGGCCTCACTACTAAATTAGTATCGATGGCTACAGTATCATTGTTATCAAATGAAATGAATGTTTATTCAAAAGTTGAAGTATCTGTGAAGGGATTTAAAACTGTAAGCTTTATTTGTTTTCCTTAACAATTATTACTAGGTAGAGTTAATTTAATAGTCTATTAATTAGTATTCTATTTGAACTCATATATTGTCTGGTCAGGAAATTCAATTCCTCTTATATCAATCATTGATTACTTATAATCTAGATATGGGTAAGATCTATATTTATTCGGAAAAGTAGAGCTGCCCCAATTATTTCTTTCTGACGCTAAATTACTAAAACTTACAGTAAACATCTTTATACCCCCTATTTCGTGAAGAAAATCAATATTTGCAGTTTATAACGGTGCTGGTATTTCTACACCGCTAATAATAGTTATCACTGGGTTAACAACAGTTGTTGAGAATGATGGGTAGAATTGAGTTTCTGTAGCTGCTAAAATAGGTAAATCTACATAGTTGTGAGTCTTGGTATCCTTGAAAATTATAAATGAATCTTTATTAGCAGAAGCATATTGACCTTAAAAAGCATAAAATGGCGTATCTTGCCACATTTATATTCCAAATGATAGATAATAGCTAGTGAATTCTTATTTCCACATTTTATATTCAGTCACTGTAAAAGTAGATGATATCTTAGCAAAAAACATCTATCCTTTACTACCAGACAGGTATATATTCATGGATGAATCTGATGCTACCGAAGCAGTATCAATATTTGCAGTTGAAGGAAATGTAAAATAGAAATTGCTTACTCGAGTTAAATCAGATCTTTTTAAAATGAAAACATGAACTTAATCATTTATTGCTTTATATACAAATGGTGCTATCAGCTTATCTACTCCATAGAATGAGGGGAAAGTTATTGCATCACTTTAAGCTGTGTTAAGCACAGATTTAAGAAGCATCGCTCCATCAGATAATCTTAATTAATATACCTACTCCTTATTTAATAAACCATGTTTAAATTGATAGAAGAACCCATTAGTTTAATCAACAAGAAAACTCATTTCATAAAACGTGGTGTCAGTTGGATAGTAATTGTACCATATAGGAAGCTACGAAGTTTCATTTAGAAGAAAAGCAGAGAATGATTTATATGCTCCTGCTGATGATTGGTATCTTTAAATTATGAGCAATCTATCAGTGTTTATTGATTATAAGTAGAGAGGAAGCTAGTTCTAAGGTTAATATTGATCATTTGGTAGCATTTTGGAATATAATAGTTGTCCATTTTTATGATTTAGTTTTATTAACAGTCCAATTAATCCGACATTAATGTACATATTAACTTTTGATTAGCAGAGCCCAAACACAAACGTTGATTGCTAACTAATTTATTAGCAATACTAAGCTGAAGTTGCATCGACCTAAGTGTCGAGGCTATAAATCCAATAAGGATTACCTCTTTAGTCCATTAAACTTAGGAATCCATTTTCAATGGTACCACTTGAACCAAAAGGAGGACTTACACCACTTCCAGCTATTAAGAAGTTTCCATAATTGTCAATTTTAAAATCTAGCAAATGGCTGTTAAAAGTATGTCCATAGAAAAAGGGGTATATTTTTTCTGCACATGTTGATGTATCATGATTTGGGTTTGTAGGATCTCTTACATAGGTAATCAAAGGTAAAACAGTAATTCTCAATTATGGATAAACAGTCACATCTTTATAAGTTGCTACAACTCTAAAGTGTAAAGTACCAACATAGTTAACATAATCTGTTATTGCAAGATTTATCTTAATCACCTTAGTAGATTATGTATAAGTTATTTATGTTCCAGTTATTGTTGTCCCATCCTGATTTTATACGCCAGTTATTGTAAATTACTTTCCAAGACAAGAAGTAACAGTTAGAGGCCCTACTTCTCTTGCTATTCCAGCATCAGTATTTAAATCATAAATTATCTCTGATGGAATCACCGCATTAGGAATCATACAATCAGGCTAAATCGATGTATCATAAAAAGTGTAGAAATTCGCCAATGCAGCAGGACTATTTAAAGATTGAGCAGTTACTGTTGATAGTGAAACAGAAGCCTCTGAAACTGTTGCATATAATGGAATAAGAGATGAGACAGAATTAGCACTTGTTAAAGCAGTTGAGGTTGTAATTGTAGCAGATGTTACATTTATACAGTTATAACCTGATATCTCCAAATCATAGTCAACTTTGTAAAATATTATCTATAAATATCAATAGTATTGAAAATTCTTACCCTTGATTTATAGCCTGAGATGAAAGCAGAATTATGGTATGAGATGTAAATTGAATTTATATCTGAAGAAGCAGTTTTTGTTAATTAAGGCAAGGAAGAAGTAGTTCCCTTTTAAATTGTTTGAATTGAAAGAAACGCGCCTGTTTATGGATTGATTTTAACAAAGAGTATCTTATCTATTGAAAAAGTTAATTATATAAAAAACTTTACAGATCTAATATGTCCCAATTATTATTAAGTCACCATTAGGATCTATATGATGATTTATATCTTTTAATGTAAAAGTAGTTTGGAAATTTGATTGCAGTGTGTTAGAAGATATAAGGCCAACTTAATGAGTTATTAAATTTGTAGAGCCTTGAATGACAGTGTACCATTTGGTCTCATCACTATTAATTACTATTGAACCTTGATTTGCTGTAGGTGCTGAATTGTACCATCTAAGTTCCTATTTGATGGTTCCATCTGATTTTTAGATTTTCTAAACTGAATTTGAATATTATGAAGCACTAGTGTAGAAGTAACTCAGTTACCAAATATTGCTCGAAGTTAAGTATGCATCGTCAATCGAAAATAATGGATTGGTTGAGAATCCTCTTGACCTTTTAAACCATTATATTGCAAGATCTTTATCAAGTTTCATTAAAATACCCTAAATTGATAAGATAACTTATTTGAAAGATAATTCTTACCTCGAAAGTTGAAGAAGCTGCAAAAAAAGAAGTTTAAACAGTAATAGAAGAGTAAATATCAGTCTCGGCTGAAAGTTGAAGTAATTATGCGTTTTTTAGTGTTGCAGAGCTAGAACTGAAAAAATCAAAGTTTTTCTCCATATCTTGGGTGCCGGTGTCTGCTGTAAGTCTAACGATTCTAAGAATATTAGCTGCAACAAGATAAGCGTATGCACTAGTATCGCCTAATATTGGACTTTGTAGTTCTTTACTAGATGATGATGTCAATGTAGTTATCCATTGTATTTATCCATATTGGTCTAACTTTGTTAAAAATGGATATTTTCCAATCTAGCTATTAGTAAACAGAGGACAACTAGTTGAAGCTGATGAAGTGACATAGCCTGAAGAAATCATATTATCATTGCCATCAATATTGAATCCAGTCTGAATGACATCATCAGTACATTAGGTACTAATTAACCCAAAAATGACTGGGAAATAAAGCGTATACTCAGGACATGTATTTGAATCAAGATATCCTAATAATTATTGATTTACTATTGAATATACTTTTTGCAAATTATTGAGAATTAGTTGGTGATTGATACTTCTCTTAATTCTATAGAAATGATTTACTCAAATTTATGCTCTCTGACTCCTAGATATTTATTTTACTCAAATATCCATCCTAGTTTCAAGTCACTCTTTAACTTTTTACGATTAAACTCAGAATTTGAGTAAATTATTTTTACCTATTCAAAGTGAGATTTGGTTGAATGCTCAGATGGGACTGATAAGTTGAGTCAAAGTCTGTATCTACCTAAAATTTTAGCGACTTAAATGCGAAAGTACCTTCGATATTTTAGCTTAAACCAAATTAGACTGGTAAATCAAGAGGCAAACGATTATTTCTACCATACGTTTTATCATTTTTAAAACTATTTTATTAATTTTAGATTTATAAGTGATCATACTAGTTTTAATTTTGAATAAGTTAATACAAAAAATTTCGTTTTAATATTATTAATAGTTTTACTCCTTATATATCATATATATCTCATTAAGGGGTTTTGGGGTTTTGGGGTTTTGGGGTTTTGGGG